CCCTCCCACTCCACCACCACCAGGTTGTTCCGAAGGTTCCAGATTGTTGTCAATACAATGACATAACGAAACTTCTCGTAGACATCACCCAAAGCAAACGAAACTAGAATTCCAGTAATCACAATGTTATGTTACGGGCGGTATTTGTAAGTTATTTAAGCAGACGTCTCCATACCTGTCTACGATTACACACCTCCTTCCCAGACGACCAGTTTCAGTCACTGCTGCCACTGATTCGCGTAGTGGGGGGAGTGGAGTCCAGCTGGGTCCACTCGGCACGGCGGCTACTGATTGGCCCATTGTACCTGTCCTGGGTGATTATGATGATGGATAATTTGGTGGAATGAAGGTTTGGCAGGGGAAACCGAAGTACTCGGAGAAAACCCGCCCCAGCGCCACTTTGTCCACCACAAATCCCACTTGACAACATCCGGGATCGTACCCAGGCTGCCGCGGTGGGAAGCCAGCGACCGTCTGGACCGACCGTCTGGACGGTCTGGACGACATGGAGAAGAGAAAAATCTTGCCCCTACCGGGTCTTGTACTCCGACGACCCCGACGACCCCGACCACTCCACGTCCAGCCCGAACAGCACAAAGCTAGTCGCTACACCGACGACCCCGACGACACCGACTGCGCTATCACGGCCATCACGGCGATCACGGCTCACACCCCCCCCCTCCACAAAAACATTGAAACAAGAACAACTATGATAATATTAATGTCCACAATATTTGATTTGATTTTTTTTAGATTCAAATTAAACCATAGTTTGCAATAGTCGAATTGTTCGATAGCGCCTATTCGATTCATCTCTATGTATCCTACATATCGCTACATACGTACACGCTCTTCAGATTCAGAATACAACGTTGATCGTATGGTGGTAGTGCAAAGTGTGTTTGGTTTGGCTACCTCATAATGTGTAAATTTAGTAAAAATAATATATTGTTATTTATACATATTGGCAGTATGTGCAACTAGATAGTAATATAATTGACGATATTACGCCCATTACAGTTTACATGCTTTAGAAGCGTTTGTTGTTGACCATAACCTCCAGTTCCCGATGTCATGTCGTAAGAGACGGCTTGATGGCCAAGATCCAGATTATGAAGATACCATTCCTCATGAGACAAAACGTCTACGATTGCTGGAAGAAAATGGTAAATATCTGCATTAATATCATGTTAGAAATCGTTTTTTCATGTTTGTATTAAATATCAGAGGTGATTCCTCCTCCCATATTAGATATCGTAAACATTTTACTTAAATGAGGAAGAACATACAGTAGTAGAGACTTCGACAGTTATCTGTAGAAATTTTAAATTTTGATGGATTCTTTAGCCAGTCACACTACTCATGTGATACTGCTCGTATTCCCCCCATGAAGCACACAGTATTGTACAGTGGCATTTTCTTTCAAGATAAAGATTTGGATATATTAACCAGTGGTACAATCAGTGGCGGCTCGTAGCTAAAATTAGGGGGGGTGCTGCTCCAGAAAATTTGTAGCCTTTGTTTTAAAATTGTATAAAAGGAAACAAACATGTATAAAAAGAAAATTTATTCAGAAACTTGATAAAATCCTGAAAGAACAAAATCAAACACTTTTTCCTTACTTTAACCTAAATTGTTACAGTTCAAGCTTAATCTGTTCATTTAAAAATGAAATCTGTTACACCTCTGGGGGAGGGGGTGAGAAAATATGATTACTTTAGTCTGTCGCTACCCTTTTTGCTAGAATCTTCACTGCACTCGGCTGCCGTCGGCTGTCTTGGTTATGGTCGCTCAGGATCGGTCGTGGACGGGTTGGTTATGAAGGGGTGAATCAAAACTCCCTGCGTACATCCTATCCTACGTACACTGGTCTATTTACATTGATATTTACATTAAAAGGGCCGCCTGCGGCCTGTTTACATAACACCTTCTCGCTACTCTCTTTCTAATTTCCCTTTGGGGGGGGAGTACCGTGAGACTGTGGCTTCCCTTCATTGCCTTGCCTGTCACTCTCTACACCATTTCTACCCTATTCTACCCTGGCGCTTGCTGGGGTACACTGGAGACTGTACTCTGAGATCACACAACAACACTTTTATCAACACTATTGTTTAACAGCATGGCTTATATGAGCAAAGAGACTTACTTGCAGTAGAAATGCAGATAAATGTCACCATCCACCATCTCGTGGCACACATATCGAATAGGGCCTCCGGCTGACAACTGGTTATTACGTTTAGATCCGCTCCCTAAGTCTCCTGAATTCAGTAATTTATATCTTTAACTTGCTGACTCTGCGGTTGACGAAAGAGGGAGGTTAACTCCTCCTTTCGTCCTCAATCTCCGGTAGAGGGTCTCCATTGGCTACCTTTTGGCTGTGGATGGGCCTGTGGTCCTCTTTGCTGCTTATTTAATAATATTATCTTTACTCCAGTGTCCCTGCAACGCGACTTGCAGAAGTGCTATTGCGCATTCTGCTAATTCAGGCATTCTTAACCTGGATTGCCTGTCCAGGTGTTGACATACTAATGTAATTGCTGTAAAACGTTTGTCGCAAGTCGTGGAACATTTAAGCAATGCCATTTTGACTTCTAGTCTCAAATTGCGCGGCAACAAAATCAATTCTTCTTGTTTTAATTTGCGCAGAAAGATCAATAATTTTCTCCTTGATCTCTGGATGACAACTGAGGAAATTTTTCTCCATTGAAAGCACTGCAAGCGCATTTAGTCTTTCCGAATTCATAGTGCTTCTTAGAAAAGTTTTTATGCTTTTCAGTGTTGAAAGCAGCGCTCTGCCTCTGATATAGACATGGGAACTGTCAAGAGGATTTTTATCAGTTTCGTAATTTCACTAAAAACATCATCTAGATTATTTTCCAAGATAAATTTCAGCAGCTCAATTAATGTGCAATATTCATGAATATCAGACCTACAATAGAATACTTTTAGTTCAGTTTCAAGCTTTTCTTTGTCAATCATGGGATATGCTTCAGTGGTCAGTACTATCTCTTCTGTGGGATATTCATTCTTAAAACTAGTGAAGCATTTCTTGTTGAACAATTTAGCAGCTACTAAGTGTTTAGTGGAAGAATATCTGTCCATTATATCAACACATATACAGTCACACACTTCCTTAGCTTCTGCCATGAGTGTCTTTGAAGGATTCTCACAGTACTTTGGGTTTCTTAATTCCAAAATAGCAGCTTTGAAATTTGTTATATATTCATTAACTCTAAACACACTAATTTCTCGAGATTGCATTTGGTTGTAAATTATTTCAACATGAGGCAAAATCTGATGAAAAAGCTCGAACCAAACTTGAAATTATCATCATTCAGGTATTTTAAAATTCCTGTTGCTTCTGCAATGGTTTGATCTGCATTTGATGTTGACTGAATTTCAGTAAGGCAGTTTATTAAAGGTTGCAAATTTTGATGAACTCTGTTTATGGTCCATATGTTGAAGTTCCACCTTGTAGAAGATGGATGTGGAATGCTGACTTCCGTATGCTTCTTGAGAATGGACACACGTTGCGGTGATCTTGAGAAGAATGTTGGAATAGCCAGAATGTTAGAGAAAAATATTCTTGCATTTCATGTATTACTTGCTGCATTTCTCGTTATTAAATTAAGTTGATGTGCATAACAGTGAATGAAATGTGCATTACTATAAACTGCTTTTATTTTTGCTTGAACTCCTGCTTTTTTGCCTTTCATGACATTTGCACCATCAAATGTCTGATCTGTCAGTTTTTGTCCATTTCCTTGAAGGATTATGTCCTATTGTTCCAAAATACGTTTTGATATGCCATCTGCAGTTTGATTTTCTGGAATAAAGACTCCCCAAAAACGCTCAAATATTTCTCCATTCAATACGTACTGTAGAATAAGGACCATTTGAGTGTGTTCTGAAACATCTGTTGTATTATCAACGACAAAGGAAGCCTTCCTAATTTCCGTCCTTATCTCCTCATGGTATATTTGTAGCAGGCAGTCAAGTATCTCATTCTGAACCTTTGAAGACTGCACTGGTTTCTAAATGATGCTTCAAATCTGAATCTAATTTAGATGCAAAATTTACTAATCCTCTAAATACCCCTGGATTTATTGAATTATCTTTTTCATCATGTCCACGTAAGGGAGTTTCAAAGTTTCCACAAAAGAAAATGCAGTCTATTATTTTGGACAAAATTTCACGGTTCTTTTTAAGCTTTATATTATGCTCATTGCTTGAAAGTCTGTATGCCTCACTAAGTTTCTCCTTAATACTTACGGTTCCTAAAAGTGACAGTGAAACTACATTATCAACATGCTTCTTTGACTTCTCATGCTTTTCAGTTTTTTCTTTCATTGTGTTTATATTTCTAAAACCATCTTTTGTCCACGTTGCATCACCCCCAAACAGCAAACACGGGAAGCAAAACAGTGCATTTTTTACTTCACAGCCGCAAAGCCAACTTTCCCGTTTGTACCATTCAGAATTAAAGCTACAAATATATTTCTTGTTCTTGCTTATGCCTGGCTGAGATATTAGAATATCAGGTGTTAAACAACCTCTTTTCTTAACTGCAACTTTCTCATGGAGAGACAGTTGTGAAAACTTAAGCTGTTAAAGTTCACTTACAGTCACAGAACTTATTTCTTGGGGATGCAAGGCCATGGTTAAAGTTTTATGTTAAATAAAAGAACCGAAAAAAATGAATCAAATAGAATCGCTGGAAGCAGGATAATAATCTAATTCTAAAATTAACTCACATTCAAGAATATGGTACACGGTACAATACACGCGGAGTGAAAAAAAAAACTACCTTCCACCAGCACGCCAGGGTCGGCACTGCGGGAACGACAGTGCTCTCTCTCCTTGCAGCCTCGTGTTCAGCTTCCTATGTGCGCCTGTGCACAACAGACAACAGTCAACAAACACCTCACCGCTGGAACTGTGAAGCGCACAGTTCAATACAAAGATTTGGCTACTGACATTAAGCTTAAGGATTATATATTGTATTGTACAAGTATAAAGAAAGAATTAAAGAAAAAAGGACTCATTATATAAATGTTATCGATAATATCAAGTGGAAATTGGGGGTGCTGCAGTTCCATAGTGCCTATATGCGGGCCACCCCTGGGTACAATGCAAATGCTGTACAGGACTACACATCTGCTGTGAATGGTTTGTAATGTACAGGTACTCCTTGATTTATGCAACACTTGTGATCCAAAGAAAAGCTGTAGAGTCTAAGTTGCATAAACTGAACATTAATTAGGCCAAATTGCCTCTCCTCCCTTGCATTCCTCTTCTACCACCCACACAATAATATTCATCCCCTTCTCTTTCCATTTCATGAATGGCCAGCAAACAGTTTTCATGAAAGCGAGCACTATTATTTAAAATTGGTCTAAATTAGTTGATGTCATTAAAATGAAGTTAACTTTTTTTTTTTTAATTTCAATATAATGAGGAATACCTGTACTTACATTAAGATTTGTACAGATCAGGATAGTGTAGTTGGTATAGCAACTGGCTATGGGCTGGATGACTGAGGGGTCGTAGTTTCAATTTTCTCATCTCTAAGTTGTCGAAACCAGTTCTGGGGTCCACCCAACCTCCTATACAGGGGCACTTTCCCTGTGGGACAAGCGGCTGGGGCGTGAAGCTGACCACTCACCTCCAACTAGTGCCAAGGTCAAGAAAATGTGGATCTATACATCCACTCCCACATACACCTTCATGGCATAGTGCTTAATTTGTTAAGCACAGGGACAACTTTACCTTACCTTACAGATTTAGACTAATTAAAATGTGGCATCTGAGATACAAAAAAGATTATGCACGTGAAAATGGATTTGGTTATGACTGCGAACAAGAACCATGGTAGCTCAGTTGATATAACACTTAGGCTATGGGCTGGATGGCTGAGGACTTGGGGTTTGAGTGTTATCAGGGGCAAAAATTTTTCTCTTCTCCAAAGCATCCACACCAGCACTGAGGCACACCCTGCCTTGTATTGAGTGTATACTGGCCGCCCTTTCCCTTGGGGTAGAGCAGCTGTTCACTGCCATCTAGTGTCAGGGTTAATATATGGAGCTATACCTCCACTCAACGTTTTCGTGGCATGGTACATCATTAAGCAGAGGGGAAACTTTACCTTGTGACTGCTAACGCAGGTTATTGTGGCATAGTTCCTCATATCATGTTCATTAATACCATCTTGTGTTACTCGTTACTATATTTTAATTTTAAGCATGGCTGTTACACCTAATGGTACAGCATTCTGAAAAACCGTATCCCATCCACCCCTCCAACCAAAATTTGTCTCCACCATCTCTGTTTGAAGACAATTTCTGATGTTCACTTAAATGCCACTTTAAGATTATGGTCCATGTAGCCACAGCAGAATAGACTAACTCACATGCTTTTTAATGGAAGCACTAATGCATATATTAAATGGGCACAGATCAGATATGAGTTTTGAGTAAAATAAATGTGTTTTGTATTTATAGCAAAGACAGAGTTTTCACAGCGCATCTCAGCCATCGTCCAGAAGGAGTTCAGTACAGAACTTGCCAATCGTGAGAAAGATGTACATGAGATTCAGGAGCGATTGCATCAGGCACAGAAAACATTGCATATTCTGCGCCATGCCATTGTATCTGCATTCTATAATAAGAGACGGGTCCAGGTCTGTAATGGTAGCCATTTTCCACCCTTTTTATTACAAAGCGAATTGGTTTCTTTCTTTAATTAAGTACCACACCATTAAGATATATGGATGGACAGTGCACTGGAGAAAACACAAAAATAAGTGAGATATTATATTTCCGCATCATGGTGCATTGAAGTATAACTTGTAGTCTTGTTTTCCATCTGTAATGTGACAACATTAATTTACAATTCACTAAATGTTCATTAAATCATAAGAGGTTAAACAGTTCCATCGAGTGTAACTAGTAAACATTTTTCTTATTTCATTCCTTCATCCCTTTCATGTTTGGTGTTTACAGATCATCCTCAGAGGGACATGAGTACAATCAGAAGCCACTATTACAATATGTTTTTGAATGCTGATATATATATATATATTGTTGATAAAATACAGTTGATATAAAATCTAATGTTTTAACTGTTTAATTGTACATATGTTAACATATTAAGACAGCCGCTGTAGTTGTTAAAACATTAGATTTTATATCCATTGTATTGTATCAACATTATATATATATTAGCATTCAAAAACATATTGTAATAGTGGCTTCTGATTGTATTGACGTCCCTCTGAGGATGATCTATAAAGACCGAAACATGTAAGGGATGAAGGATTGAAATAATAAAAATCTTTACTAGTCACACTGGACGGAACTGTTTAACCTCTTATGATATTGTTAGTGTGACAGACCAGAATGAAACAAATCAAATTTGTTCATTAGATGTTTAAAATGTCATTAAAATCAGTAAAAATATATGTGCGTTTGGTGTTTATGCTACATGTTTCAGCTGCATAAGGCCATCTTCAGGCAACTGTCTTTTAAAGGAGTCTACTTCACTGTGCACTTGGTCAAATAATATTCATTAAGGCATGTCGTCGTTATTACTATTCTTTTTAATACTGATGCTGTATGATAATTTATTCCTCTGTTATATAATGTGCTTTTTTCATGTCCCATTCGGTGTGTCGCTCTTAGTTGTTTGTATCAAGAGGGAGCAGCAATACATATAGGCTGATATAGATTTATTCTGTTTATTTAATGTGTTTCATATGTGGAAAATCTTTAGGCCACATAAGCCATGCCATAACTGAGATTAGTAATTGCCAGCTTCTCGTGATGGAGGCCTCTTTTCAATCCCAGGTTAGTTCATGTGTAATTTTTTATGTATACAGTGGCACAGGTACAGACCTTGCTTTCATAACTTTCATTTTCCCCTGTCGGTTAATCGATTAATGCTCTCTTCATTTGTCATCTGCACCTGATACATCAGCCACATTTAGAGAGTATATTTTCATAACAGCTATGAAATAGGTTCTCTTAGCGGGGGTTGAAGTCCAGCTGGGTGCACTTGGCACGGCAGCCACTGATTGGCCTATTGTAGCCTTCCCTGGGTGATTATGATGATGGAGAATTTGGTGGAATGAAGATTGGCAGGGGAAACCAAAGTACTCGGAGAAAACCCACCCCAGCGCCTCTTTGTCCACCACAAATCCCACTGGACCAGACCTGGGATCGAACCCGGGCCGCGTCAGTCGGAAGCCAGCGACTAACCACTTGAGCTATGGCGCAGCCTTTCATAACAGCTATATTCTAGACTTTTATTTGGGTTCTGTTCAAATCTTGCCTTTCCATAACTTGACTAAGGATTTTTGTGGGTTTCCTCATGTATCTAAATTTCAGGATAATAACTTGATTATGCTGCAGTCACTTCCTTCTAAATCCTTAACAATTCATCTATAATACATTTCTAAGCTGTATACTCTAGCTATTGACAGCATCATAAAATAGCCCAAGAAGGAAGGTCCATATGTGACTGCAGTACCAAGGGCCTCAGTGTCACCCCATTCACTGTAAAAGTGAGGAGTGTATAACCTCAACTTAGTTTTACCAAAATGCCAATACAGCAAAGGTTATGAATGTCTTAGGATAAAGCAAATGCTGGTGTGTGAAAGTATACATGCAGCCCGTTTGATATAAATGTGTGTCCATATTCATGAGGTGTGATTTCAGAATGGCCCAGAGGAGAGAGAGAAGCGTATTCATCCTGCAGTGAAGAAGTTAGTTGGCAAGGAGCCTCAAAACTGGGAACCGCTGCACAAGCGCCGATCCAAGTACCGGACCATTCCCACCACCTCAGAAAAGGAGCCGTCGGTCAGCAAGGAAACAAGTTCAACCAGTGAGAATGAGAAGACGGAAACAGTGAGCAAGGTACCGCGTTATGTTCCCCCAAAGACCTCTGCAGGCGGCGGCACTCCAAGCAGCCCACGCCGCGGAATGTGCCACAAGATGAAGAAAAGGTGAGAATCTATGGAAATTACTGCCATTTTGCTTCATTGAAAGGTTATATAGTACTTCATTCATTCTGGTCCATCACACTAGTCAATATTATAGAATGATTTGCCTGCACCATCCAGTGTGACTCAAATGTGTGTGTATATATGAAAAAAAGTAAGGCTATCTCTGTAACGGGGCACGCGGTAGTGTAGTGGTTTAGGGGCTATGCTACAAGCCGGAAGGTCGCGGTTTCAAATCTCGATGAGGTCATTGGATTTTTTCAGTTGACATAATCCTTTCAGCCGTACTAGGCCCTGGGGTTTACTCAGCCTCTAACAGAAATGAGTACCAGGAATTAATTAAATAATTTTCCTGGGGAGTAAAGGGCAGCCGCTGCGTAAGGCTGACAACCTTACCGCCGTCTTTGAGCTGATTGTCTAGCTGGTGTGGGACCCTCAACATCTCACAACCCTATGGGCCTTCATGGCCTGGTACAGGGATAGCTTTACTTTTTTTACTTTTTATCTCTGTAGCAGATCGTGAATTCCTGTAGGGTTATGAGATGTTGAGGGTCCCACATTGTCTAGACAATTGGCTCAAAGATGGCGGTAAGACTGTCAGCCTTACGCGCCGGCCATGCTTTACTCCCCAGGAAAATTATTTAATTAATTCCTTGTACTCATTTCTGTTAAGAGGCTTAGTCGACCCCAGGGCCATAGTGCAGCTGGAAGGATTAGGTCAACTGAAAAAAATCCAATGACCTCATCGGGACTTGAACCTGCTACCTTCTGGCTTGTAGCATAGTATGTTTATATATATATATGATGCCTGTACATGTTCCAGTAAATCAATGACCATCTTCAGAAGGCAAATAACAACATGTCGAGGAAACTACTTTGAACTTGATATACAATGATTATGCAATAGTAGGTTCCTCATCGTGTTGTTATTTACCTCCTGAAGATGGTCATTAATTGACCAAAAAATGTAAAGGCATCATATATACACACACATTTGAGTCGCACTGGACGGTGTAGTCAAATCATTGTATTTATATAGTACCTTTATTGTTAGGGAATAGGAGATTTTAACATGTTGGCTGCCCTGTGATGCAGTATACTGTATGTTTTTTGTCACCCACCAGGACACGCATGCATGCACACACGCACTAGAAACCATATCAGATAAATTACACACAAGATTGTCAGCTCTGATCATATTATAAACCTGGGTTAAATTAGCCATCCACACTGCAGATGGCACTAGGGGGGAAATTTGTAACTTGTATGATGGCAGGCAACGTGTTGAAATTCCCTAATATTTTGGTTTCCATGGCTGGATTTTAACATGGGCTAGTGTTACTGGCACACACTTAATGAATGCACTGTTACAATAATGCCATGCATTGCCAGTTGAGATCTTTGCATTCTTGTTGGAGAGGTTAAAACTTGCAAAATGTGGCTAGTACAGACTGCAAAGTCTGAGTGGAAATACACCACAGTTGAACATATTTTTTAATTAGGAGTCTTGATAGCTCAGTTGGTATAGTGTCAAGCTACAGAATAGACACCTGAGGAATCAGGATTTGATTCCCGGTTGGGGCAAGAGATTTTTCTCTTTCCTGTAGCATCCTGATCACCTCTGGAGTGCATCCAGTGTTCTATCTCATGGTTATTGGTGGCTCTTTCCCCAAGAATAAAGTGGTCGGGGCAGAATCTGACCAATTATCTGCACCAAGTGTGGATGTTAAGAGTGTGTGGAGTTATACCTCCACTCCTCCTGTGGTACGGTTCTTGATTAATTAATCACAGGTACAATTTGACCATACCTCTGCATGCTTGAAATTGAGAGGTGGCATATACATATAGAATTTATGTATATATGCATGAAGATGTGAATTTAAGCAGTCATGTGTGTTAACACATTTGCTGCCAGCTGGTACTGGCCAGCCTGTCATTTTGCTCAAAATGTTTCCAATTTTAACTGCCTTCTTCATTCTTCCATATTAGTGCTGTGAGATCCTCCCCAGCTGAAATAGCCTTATTAAATATTGTAAGAATCAGTCATGTTGTGTCTGCAGGAATGAGAAGATGAACATGTGCATTGCATGAATGTAAGTATGTATTGTGTGGTTGCAGAATTGTTATAGGGAACATCTCCAAGTGGCTCCCAGTCGACACACGAGAGGATGCAGCAAGCCACAAGTGGATGATGTATGTGCGTGGTCCGAAAGAGGCCCCAGATATGTCTGATTTTGTATCCAAAATTCGGTTCTTCCTGCACCCCAGCTACCGGCCACACGACATTGCAGAAGTGACGTACGTGGCACAGTGTTCTCTTCTCTGGATGAGCATGCATACACTGCTGGAATGAGTTTTATAGTGTGAGCAGTCAGTCAAGTCTCCATGCCATTTTCCTGTTTGTGTGATATGTGATGACATTTGATGATTGGGAAAGCTGAGATTTAGAGCTGCATTGCTGTCCATCCTGACCTTCCTCACTTTCCCCTGCTCTTGTCCCTTTCATAGACTTTGGTATTGGCTCACATAGCATCACCGTTTTCTTTTATTTTTCCACGGGGACTAGATAGACTGCTCTGCCTGTAGCATGCATTACAGAGTACGACCATATTGGTATGATCAGCATTTTCTTCTCGGATTATAAGACAGAAGTATTAGGTTTTATATATACTCTGTGGTTCTGTCATTTGCAGGGGACAAATGAAATATGAAATTATGTTGTTTCAGAGAAGTTTTATTTTCATTTTGGTGTGAAGCAAGGAGTGCTTGCATGACAACATTGCTAGCAGAAGGAGTGCAGAATTCTGTATTGTAGAAATACACTATAAATTTACTGTTCCCTGAGGTTTGCAATAACATTGACCAAGCAGTATACTATCATTATATTATGTTTTACATGGAAAGACCTCAGAACATGTGTTTCGCACTTCAAAGTTGGTGGACCTAGTCCCAGCTCGGGGCTGTACTTTTATAATTGTATTGAGTTTATTTTATGACCAATATTGGATATTTCTTGATAGTAAAATATTATGTTGGGATGTAATTTCACTTCTTTGCTCTTGAATTCTTGTAGGTCTCCACCATTTCATCTCTCACGGCGAGGTTGGGGTGAGTTTCCAGTACGTGTCCAGATCCACTTCAGCCACCCTCGCAACAAGCCGGTTGATGTGATACATCATTTGAAGCTGGATCGCACGTATACAGGACTGCAGACTCTCGGTGAGCCTCTGTGGCAAGCATAAGCAGATATGTTGAATGTTATTTCTTAGGTCCCCAGTTTGAATCTTGATGGGGAAACTTTCTGTCCTCACTGAAGTTTGTTACAGTTTTACATATTCCTCCCAAGAATCTTGTTATGTGTTAGTGACTAGACATGGGGTTTAGGTTCTTAATTGGATTTATTAAACACTTATGAATCATAACTACATGGAATTGTAGTGCTCTTACTAATTCACACACTCTGCTCTTCACTAAAGTCTTCTCAGTTTGTCTTTAGCCATTGCTCAGTTATGGCTCCCAACCATGTAAATTCCTCAGCTTCCTTGTTCACATCACTACTGGCTGGTGACTGTCTCCAGCCCTCAACCGTCAACTAACTGATTTGTCCAAGTCCAAGTCACATTGCGACTGACGGTCAGTCAGTCAGTGAGTCTTGGTGTCGAGCCCCATTTGGGGCTCATGACCAGGTATTAATTATTACTGTTTGGCAGTTACGGTCTTGCTTCTGTGGGGCGCCCTCTCTGATGAGAGGATGGGTCTGTCTTTTCTGTTTGTTGCTGGCCCTTGTCCTATTGGTTCTTCTGTATATATTGGGTTAGACCACACAGACAGCGCTATCTCCAACAGTTCTTCTACTGTGTGTTTATTCGTTGCTATGATACTTGTTTATTTAGCTGTTACCTAGCAATGAACATTTTCTGCTTGTTCCATTATTGTGGTTTCCAGCCATTGTCATACTGTATAGAATAATACATTGTCAGATCTCATAGGCATATTCACATGTTCTTACCAATTCATTGTTCTTAATCATATCTTTTCTTATTGCAATATCCAGCATGCTTCCACATTAACAGAAGGGATGCATTTTTGAAAACTTATCCGTGTCATGAAATTCCATAACATGAACTACCTGTTTTCATTGGTTCCCATGTTATTAAGGGAGATGCATTCCTATGAAAATTGTTGTTATCCACAGTTGTAATAAAAGCACATTTTATCAAGTTTTACATCAAAATAATTTCTTTCCATCCTCTTTAGGTGTACTGTTTGCATGTACACTTGATGGCCTCTTTCAAGATATCTTAAATAAGTGTAACATACCAAACTATCTAAAATAATATGGGAATAGGAACCATGCTACCTGCCACCACAGTTGTGTCACTGGTGCATGTTTGTAGACTAGCTAGTGGCCAGCTACACCTCACCAGTGCGTGCTCATATGAATCTGAATTTCATAAATAATTAGTTTTGGTTGAATTTATTGCTGTCTTGCAGTTTATGTTAAAAAATTATGTTTGTCCCAAATTTCTGTAAGGGTGAATTTATGGTCCCCGTTNACGATTTAAATCCCTGACGAAACATACACGACGAACCACGGCAACACGTTAAAGGTTAAACCTCAAAATTGCTTCAACAAATTATAAGCAATGTGTAAACATGCATGACATATGAGCATGCTTTTAAGTTTCACTTGAAATGTTGTCATGTAAATAGAGATTTTCATTCATTAAGATGCCATCTCTTGTTAATTGTTTTCTCCTAGCCTCTTAGGCCGCACACCGGCTTGCATCAAGACATATAATAGTTAAGACATGATGCAAAGAAATGAGCACAGTTGAAACAAATGAGATTATGAAAACTGCCGCACACCGGTCTAAGTCATGATGCTGATGTCAGCTTCATGCTGACGAATCACGAATGAAACAAGACTGTGTCCTTTGCCCCATGTCATGCAGTTGGTGTGTGGCTGCCCTTAATTAGTCCTACTTGTGAAGCAGCAGCACTCGCTTTGCGTGTGCCATCACATTTATTGCAATAGCATCTCCTCTTTGATCACTCAATAGCAATAGCATAATGTGACAGCAGTTGATGTGTGATGTAGTCACTTAGCCAGCATTATTTAGGCATAAGTATTTGTATATGGTAGTAACATTTTATTTCTTTTGTTGACAGGTGCTGAGACAGTTGTTGATATCTGGTTGCATTGTGGAAGTGACTCAGGAATTAGCAACAGTGAGCATGAAGTTGGCAGCACTGAGGAGAGTGCGCCTGATGGCAGTAGTGATAATGTGGAACGCCTTTCTCGAACGGCGAAAATAGAGGATAGTGTTAATGGCCCTACTTCTGGGATGGTTTGTGAGTCACCAACCAAGGTTAAGTTCCATGGTCCGATTGAGCCGAAACTGGAGCCAGTAGATAGCTCTGACTACATGTCGTCCTGTGATGACACCTCTCAGACTGATGCAGCTGCACAAGGTGCCCATAGCTCCTGTGACATCACATCATCATCCTTAGACCATGATTACTTTGGGCTCAAGAATGTGAACATTAAAAAGGAGCATGAAGATGGCTGTGAATTTGTGCAACCCTTACCAGGCTGTGAACCTGTGCAGTCCCTGCAAGGCTGTGAGTCAGTGGAGTTCGTGGCAGCCCGTGACTCTATGCAGCTTGTGCCAGGCTGTGAGTCAGTGCAGTCCCTGCAAGGCTGTGAGTCAGTGCAGTTCCTGAAAGGCTGTGAGTCAGTGGAGTCTGTTGCAGCCTGTGAGTCAGTGGAGTCCCTGGTAGCCAGTGAGTCGGTAAAGTCCCTGGCAGCCCGTGAGTCTGTGCAGTTCCTGCCAGGCTGCAAGCCAGTGCAGTCCCTTCCAGCCTCTGAGTCAGTGGAGTCCCTGCCAGGCTGTGAGTCAGTGCCGTCCCTACCGGTCTCTGAGTCAGTGGAGTCCCTGCCGGCCTGGGACTCTGTGCATCCTCTGCCAGGCTGTGAGTCAGTGCAGTCCCTGCTGGGCTCTTCACAAGAAAACATGTCAGAGGAGTGCATAGATGTATGTAAAGTGAAATCTAGTGTTGTGACAGACAGCATTGTTCGAAACCACATGTTGGAGGAGGCACCTGTCATGCAAAAGCACAAGACAACAAATTCCATTTTGCTTATTCCAGAGTTACTGACACAATCAAAAACTGTTAATAACCATGTTGTAGAACAGAATGTTCCACTTGCCAAGAACAACTCAAAACCAGCCATGCTCGTGAAGTGCATGAACAAGAGTGGTCATGTATTCTTTGTAACAGTTGGCAAGGCTAATGTTAAGCCGCAATTGAAGGTTGCATCAGTTGTGCCAAAATTAGAACAATCTGTAAATGTACCCAATTTGACTTCCTTGCTAATCAAACAGGCACCAACCTCATTACTCCAGAACAAACTATCGTACACTTCAGCTGTGGTATCCAAATCAAATGAAAATACTCCCATTCCAAAATCTCAGCTCAGTAGTTACAATTGTAAAGTGAAGGGTGGTGTAACCTCTCAGGATAATTTTGGTTTCATATCATCACAGACTAATTCCTTAGTGCTGGTACCCCCTCAGGGTACTCCTGGTAATGGGGTAACAGCCCGGGCTAGTTTATTGTCCCTAGGAGCTAATTCCTCGAGTTTTGTAACGTCACAAGGTTCATCTGTAGTGACTCCCTTGCCAAGCATGAATTTGAAACCTGGTGCGAAAGTAACCTCACCAGTGATACTAGTGAATGATTCTCCAGAAGTACTGAAGCAGATACAGAGCAATTCAGGGCAGATGCTTTCATTCCTGAAACCAAATAAAAGTTTGCTCACTTCAGACAAGTCGGAGGAAGGGAGCAGAGCTGGAGCTTTGAAGGACATGAACATAAGTTCTACCCAGAATAAGCCCATCTCAGTCCAAGATCAGTCGGTGTTGATTGCAAAAAATGGGCAGTTGTATCTGCTGAAACACCCACAGAGTGCACTTGCACTTTCAGCGCTCGCTGCCAAATCCAGTACAAAGAAATGTGATTCAGCTACAAAGCAGCAGGACACACTTCTTTCAGACACAGTTTGCGGGAGCCAGTCATTACTGTCAAATCAGGTGCGTTCAGCTAAAGGAGGCGTGAGTTTGTTGAAGAAGCAGACAAACTCAGCTGTTCTGCCTACCGTGGGGAAGCAGGTGAACGTGGACAAAGCCGAGGAGACTCGGCTGTTGATGTCGGGCCGAACTCTGGTGCTGAATAAAGCGAACAGTCGACAAATCACCCACTCAAGCAGGACGTGCTACCTGGAAGATCTGAAGTGAGTACACTCTATGCTGTTGGTACTGTGCCTATTTTTGGGCCATGAGTTATTTAATGATTCTGTATCATTATTGAATGAAAAATGTATTTTCAGTTAGGAAGAATTTGGGAAGAAGTGATGATGGTCCCTTTTTAAGGCACAATCTTTGAATCCATCCTAGCACTTATAACAGCTGGACATATGAAATGTAATGCACAGTCAGTTTTTGGAGGAGACGAGGGCACATTATGTATGCCAAAATTTGGTAGGCGGCCAATTTTGGTTTTGGGAATGTTTGATAAAATTTCTGATTTCATATTAATTTAATTACCTTGAAGCAGAATGCTTTTGACTTGTGTTTAGGAGGGATACGGTTTGAATCTCAGGTGGAACAACTTGCCTGACTTATGTTTTCTCATGGCTTTTGTCAGTCTCTCCAATCAAATGGCAGATGGTACCTTAAATTAGGCTGTGACTGCTTCCTTCCACATTCTCTCTAATTTATTGTTCCAGTTATTTAGCACTCTGTAGTCTGAGTTATTAACAACTCCATGGAATTGAGCCCTCAAGAAGCTGCCAGTTGCTCAGCTACTCAAGAAATTCCCAATGTTTTATGGAACTGGAAGGTTCATTACCATGTCCACAAGACCTTTCCACTGGTCCCTATTCTGAACCAGATGAATGCAGTGCGTACCACCACATCGCATTTCTTGAAAGTATCCTTAAATTAATTACGTATACAAATATTTTAGATGATAGAATGTCAGGCCTGATGTCTTGTTATTTTGTTTGCAGAGCTGCTATCGAATCATGTAAGTTTGATGACATTTCATTTGCTCTTCGCTGGCTGTTGAGGCACATACCTCTGGTTTCACCTCTTGCAAGGGATCCAGATTTCAGGGTGCTTCACCCATATGCTGCCCACAGTGACATGACCTTCCTGCAGTGGAACATCGGCAAGCAGAGAGCAGCAGAGGTGAGCTTCTTTGGTTATGTTGCCGCTCTCCGTAATGTCTCCAGACATAGCTGCATGGTTTCTGCATCATGTAACTTGTTTGTACATGGCATTGAGCAGCATTTTCTTGTTCCCGAAGATCAGAACCTGGTATCAGAAAGACATTTAGGGCATGTTCCATGTCTGATTTAGTGAAATCCCTACCTAATGAATCTAGGACATGTCTTTTCTGACACTAAATCAAGGTTTTCTGTAAAGGATTATTATGAAAAATTGCACCAAAAGAACTGTATATCTTCTAATAATAATTATTATACTTACTAACTTACTTACTTACTTACTCATGGAGCTGAGCCCTTCTGGAGGAGCCGCCAATTCTGAAGCTACTCAAGAATTTCCCAGCATTTTATGGAACCTGAAGGTTCATTGCCATGTTCACAAGAGCCCTTCACTGGTTTATATCCTGAGCCAGATCTATCCAATCCATCCCATCCCATCCTGTCTCTCAAAGATCCATTCTAATATTTTCCACCCACCCGTGCCTTGGTCTTCCCTGTGGTCGCTTTCCTTCTGGCTTTCCCACTAATATCTATACACATTCCTTGTCTCCCCCATTCGTGCTAGATGACCTGCCCACCTCATCCTGCTTGACTTGATTATTCTAATTATACTTGGAGAAGAGTACAAGTTATGAAGCTCCTCATTATGTAATTTTGTCCAACCTCCTGTCACTTCATCTATCTTCGGTCCAAATATTCTCCTCAACTCCATGTTCTCAAACACAATAATTATTATATACAATTAAAATTATTTCTCTCTAAACAATAAAACTGTTATAGGATTTGAGGTTCTCAGTGATGGTTATGAAGAGTTCCATCTTCAGGGATATAATGCCATGTCGTGGACTGATTTCTTACTTGGCTTCCTCTTGATGACTGAAGTTGGAGGTGACATGTTTCTCCAAAATGTAGGTTGACTTTCAAAATACTATACAGCATTATATCCCAGAAAATAGAACTCGTAATAACACTGTTGTAGTGCCATGTGAGTTTATAGTAATACAGCACACCAACAGAGTGCACCATGCTCTGTTTGCAGATATCACTAATTGTGCTGGTAGGTGGTTCTGCCAATAATAGTTTCTCTGTCATCAGCTTTTGTCATTTTCCTGGAAAAACTATTATTTAGAATGGCTCCCTGAAACCTCTATTTTATATTTTTCCAATATTGTATGTTATGATTGATTGTGAGTGTGTGGATACCATACTAATTCATATAAATTTTCAGGAGATGGCATTACTGTATTGCCCAGACTGTCTGATTTTAAGTACTTTATGCTTAGGTCTATAAATGTTTTAGTAAACAATGCAGCAGTTCTTACATTTCTTTTAGCATTTTGCTTTCTTTCTGAAGGCGGATGGTGATGGAGAGTAAGGGTGACACTAGATTCAGCCCACGCTGCTGGCAGTTTTAAGTAATTGGTCACAGAGTACTTGGCAATAGAAGTAAAACTATTCCTGTAACAGACCATGGAGCCCCATAGGGTTGTGAGACATTGAGGTTCCCACTTTTTTTTTTACACAATTCCTCACAGATGGCAGCGAGGTTGTCAGCCTTCGCACTGGCCTCACCTTTACCCCCAGAAAGATTCCTGTTACTCATTTCTGTTAGAGGCTGAATTGACTAGTGTAGCTGAGAAGATTGTGTTCGTTTAAAAATCCACTGACCTCATCAGGAATCAAACCTGCAACCTTCCAACTTGTAGCATAGTAGAGGGGCAAACACTCCTTGTCACCCATCTTACTTCTGATGAAGTGCTCAGTACAGAGAAAATATATATTTTTTTTCTGTCTGTTCCTGTAATTTTAAACATTGTGATTGTGAATGTTTTGGCAGTGGATTCGAGCAAAGACAGTACAAAAGGCATTACAGAAACGATTTCCAGAAGACCGTGTGTGGGGTACACGTGCCATTTTGGTGTGGGCAAGGCTGCATGGGTATACACCAGTTCAGCAACCTGCAGATATAGGCTCAGAAAATATATCAAGTAGGCCAGTAACACAAGGAACCTACTCGGAGCCCGTTGGAATCATGGACTGGCTGGTGACAAATCACAAGTCGGATCAGTGTTCAGGTTCAGAGTCAGATCCTGAAGTTGATGTTGTGGGCATAGAGCCACCACAGACAAAAGGTGGGTTCATTGATCTTGTGACATGAAGAGTGAAAGATGAAGGCAGTGCCTTACTTTGACCTTTGTGGCTCTAGTAACAGTGCAGTGTTTCATATCATGGTGGGAGCAAGTGTCTACTTGATTTTTTCTTTTCATGTTAGGCATTACGTTTTATTATATCACCTTAATGCATACTTGACTGCCTCTGTGGTCTAGTTGTCAGAGTTCCTAGCTACAGATCCAGAGGTCCGGGCTCGATTCCCGGCCCTACCAGATTTTCTTAGAAGTAGTGGGTCTGGAATGTGGTCCACTCAGCCTCATGAGGAATATTGAGGGGCTATTTCAAGGAAATAGCAGCTCCGGTGTAGAAGAAACCGAAAATTAATGGCCGTGGGGATTCATTGTGCCACCCTCTATCAGCTAAAGTTGGCACTAACTTCGCCGACAAGTGGCAGTTGATCAGTGGGTATAGTTTGCTTGCGGGCTACAAGCCACAGGATTAACGCATATTTTCTGAAACTCCAGTTCAGCACTGATAACATTTTAAATGGAACCACTTCTCAGTTAACTTTTCTTACTGACTTTTTATTTACTCACCTCCAACTAGTGCCAATGTCAAGAAAATGTGGGTTTATACATCCACTCTCCCATATGCCTTCATGGCATAGTGCTTAATTAGTTAAGTGCAAGGCCAACTTGTCCTTACCTTACCAACTTTTTTATTTTGATGAGACAGTTACATTCTGCTGTGATCCTGTAGTGACGTTATGTACATAATAAATGTGTTGAGGCTCATACAACAGTGATTATGAAGATTACTATTTTATTGGAGATAACACTAGTCTGATAGAACTTCTGTGTTTCAGATAAATTTTCTGCCTCCATCTTCAGGGCCAGAGAGGAAGCCAGGCAAGTAACAAGCAACAAACAAGCAGCAAGTCATTTACCACCTCTTTTTGCTGGTTATTTGCTTGGCTCACTCTTTAACCTTGAAGATGGAAGCAGTACATTTCTCTGGAATGTTAGTGAACTTCTACCAGACTGAACGATGTCACATGCTAGAACATAGTAATCTTCAAATCATAAATAAATAAATACATATATAGAGATAGAGTCTTGTATATATCAGCCTGTTTGGTGCAGTGATGAATAATTTCACTACTGAAGTTACAGTGAAATATTAATACGTACCACTGTGAAAATTGTTTAAGGGTTTGTTTCAATAAGGTCATCTGTTTTACTCTCTGAAAATTCTTCAAGGAAGTATTTTTTCCCCTTTGTCAGTAGATGATTTATGTTGCCCTGGTTTCTTAGATATATATGTAGATTGTTGGCTGTTCATTTCTTTGCTGTGAAATACCGCCAACTGTTAGATACTGCTAAAGCACAATAGATCAGTGTAGGTTGCAGTGCAAGGGCCGAGAAGGCCTACCCCTTATACATTCATTCATTAGATACTGCTAAATTGGCAGGCCATGAAGTAAGCCGGCTGCAGGTGTGGTGGAAATCAATGTTTTGTTGCTGAAACATGTAGACGGGTTAAAGTTGTGTGGTTTCCATATTAATTTGAATGAAACAAGCTGGAAGATCATGTGTAATTTATAAAGTGCTTTACAGATAAAAATCAGTTATATGGATGATAAATTTCTCTCTGTGTAAGAAATGATCTTACATCAGCTTCGCTTCAGTTTTGGCTAGTGATGGCGATGCTGCTTGATGGCTTGCATGTACACTAACTGCAGGGTTTAATAACAGATGATGTGGCAATAAGCTGATGGCTGAATCATCTTTAGGTCAATGAAACACACATTTGTGCATGCACATTGCTAGTGTATGTTTGTAAAGCAAAATTTTAAACTCAGAAGACTGAAATACACAATAATGCCTATATTTTTTTATAATAATTAGTGCTGTTTTGTATTTATGTCTTGTTTCATAGCACTCGTAAAGCAAGGGCCACCAGAATTTGAAGACGTTAGCAAGATTGTTGAAGCACTGGAATTGGATCCTGAGCTGGATGCACAGTGTTTGTTTGTGCGTGAGGCAGCAAGGGAGGCGGGCTTCAAGTTCTTGCCACAGGAAATAATGCCTGGTGTGGTATTCTGCGCTGCAGAAAGAATACTTTTAGAGGTATATGATCCATAGGATTTGTAATGGAAATTGCAAATTTTGATCCAGTCCTTACAAGTTAAATAAGTTAGCAGGGTGGTATTTTGCCTGTGTTATATTTGGGAGATAATTATTTCAGATCTCGTCCAGAGCAGATGTAGCCCTGACTGAGATTTTACATGGTTCTTCAGTCTGTCAGTGCTCATATTGTATCTTAAAGAGCTGGCTGTGATTATTTCCTACCTTAAGCATGCAGCTTGTTATACAGTGGAACCCACATTTAATGTTTTCCATCATTTAACATTCAAATTTAATGATCCCATGTCAGTTATCTTAATTTTATATTTCCTCCATTTAAGATTTTCCTCAGTTTACTATCCACTGCTCCCCAAAGAAACCTTATATCCAGGTAAATATTGCCACCTGTTAGAGCAACTATAGACAGGATTGATTTATTACACATTTCAACACACAGCTCATGACTAAACTTTACAGATGCACCTTTACATGCAAGTGTTCTCAGTCTGCTGCAGTCTCCACTAGTTGTTGCCTCGTGACGGCTTCCAATGGTGTACTTTCCCCTTACTCTGGGTTTACAAACTACCAGCTTTTAACAGCAACAGCTCACAATGACTGAACTGTATGTAGTTCTCTGACTAACTCACTAACCCCCAGGCTGGTGGCTGTCTCACACCAACTTCCCACTATTCTGATTGACTGCAACTCAACTGATTAAATTCTAGACTTGTCCTGTCTATAACACCTCGGCATGGACCATGTAGAAAACACCTCTACTCATTGTAGTTTTTCCATGATAACATATTTGTTTGACAAGCTGTTTCTCGATAACAGTTGCCATATATTTTCTTATTCCGTGGTTGTTGCCTAGCAGTGGACATTGTTTATAGAGTCGTTACTTAGCAATGGGTCTAAATTTTACAGAATGACGCTTGATCACAGCTGTCTCTTGCATGAATGTAGTTGCTTTGCAGTAGATTCTTGACTGACATAATAGGTTGATATGTCGGTGGGATATCGAATGGATTAGCATAGCAGTAATGCTCTAGACTTGTGTTCAGATGGTGTTCAACTTGAATATTAGCCAGGACACCAGGTATCCTGATGGAGGCACATTCCTGTATAGAACTTTGATTCCTTCTGGTTCCTTTCTAGTCGATCTGTCTTCCTACTCCTTGGCAGTATGCAGTATAGTGCACTTATTGACTCACTCACTCATGGAGCTGAGCCCTTCTTGAGAAGATGCCTGTTGTGCAGCTACTCAAGAACTTTGCAGCATTTTATGGAACCTAAAGGTTCATTGCTATTGAGAACATTGTAAAATAACAACATACATGCACTCAGTGGCAGGATATGTGGTACACCTTGAACAATTTGAAAGAAATAATATTTTATGTATCAGTTTCTTTATCTTGTCTTAAATCATGTTTTGTTATGTTGCAGGCAATACGATCACTGGCAGATGACTTGCTACGACGCGCATTGTGCATGGCGTGGAGGAGAAACTCAAACAGGTGTGTGGTGTGGTCACTGGATTGCAAGCTCTTGTTTGGCATCTGTGACCAGTTCTGGTCTTGATAACGTCCATTATATTACTCATTCAAATGAGGCATCAGTCTGTGGTGTGCAGAAATATATATTCTGAACAGAGGAGATGAATACGAGCTTGGGCTTCTGGTAACTCTGTGTATCTGTGTGACAGTATATGGTTTTATAGGCCTACAGTAAGTGCTAACTATTATTTTTTTTTATTGCTAGTGGGGTGGGACTAAGTCCCTTGTACTGCGGCCGCTTCTGGGCTATTGTACCAGCCCCAGATGATAGGTGAGGGTGATTGTGGAGTAATTGGTGGAATGAAGATTGGCAGGGGAAACCGAAGTACTCTGAGAAAACCTGCCCCAGCTCCACTTTGTCCACCACAAATGCCACTTGACCTCTGAAGTGCTAACTAAGTCTTTCTGTGGTGTAGGACTTTCTTGAAAATTGATGATTATGCAGCTGATCAAGTAATTACCTGGTTTCGTAGAACCCAGTGGTTTGTCACATTGTTCAGAGGTGCCTGTGCCATGAACCTGCTGACTTCCCTCTGGGATGTGATACCATGAAGCCTGGTGGATTGTTACCATTGCTTCAAAGGTACCTGCTGCTACTCTGAAGATGGAAGCAGCAGGTTACTTTGAAACATTGGCAATGATCTACAAAACAACACTGTGTGTTATTCTAGAATACAGTTTCTTCATGTGTCAGATCCTGCAGTAACATATCTGTTCCAAAACACTGAAAACGATTCTTTTAATTGACAGGTGTCCTGACAGCATCACAGTAAATGATGTTCGGATGGCGATACTCACCCGTCCAGAGTTTGACTTGTTTTCGAACAGAGGGCTTGGTGTTCAAGTGACGGATACTGGTTGATACGTGTCTGTAGTTAATTACCTGTTGAAGGTATGAAGGAGAGTGTTGGGATTTATGAGTTTTCAATAAAGAGCAGGCCACTGTGAGGCTGACAGATGTTTGTATTCAATCAGCATATATACATACACATCCTATTCCCATCCAACGGGTATGTTGTATCGCTGGATCTGGGCTTGTAGCCAGCGATATATTGGCTCATAGTACTGCAGTAATGGCTTGACATCATAATAGCTATTTCCTGTGAGGATCTGGAGTGCTTTGCCCCAAGGTTGGCTGCTCCCCATACTCATCATTCCTCTGCACAAACAGACATGATATTCCACTTCTTTATTAAAACTGTCACAACACAACCATATCAAGGTCAGTGCCAAGTTTGGCTCTGCATATTAACACTTTGTGGACGGGCAATTTAAATATTTGAATCACCCTGGGGACCGGCATTTTTTTACCTACTACCGTAACTTGTGCACTGTTCAATTTAAAAATTAATATAAAATCTCCTAATTAATTTTATGGACTACAAATTTTGGAGAACACTTATCAGTGCTCCTAGAAGTGCTTGAGGGTGTGATGTTTCTCGAGACATTCCCCTCTGTGAAGTGGCATTACACAAAACTTGCAAATGTAGAGTCATACTCCTTTTCTTGTGAACTGCGCAAACACGGCATTGCCTAGAAGGATGCTTCCCCTTGAAATGTTCACTCTTCACAATTTTTGCGAGGGTATGTATCCGCATATCACCTGAGAGTTGCCCAGGGGGCTCAGAATTAGGCCTGCGTGGGGTGGGAGTAGACGGGCCTGGTCACACTAAGACTGTGTCTGCCTCTGGTTCTGCTGCCACCATGTGGTCTGTAGCCCAGGCTTCTGCCATATTCAGCAGAAATGCCTTGTATTTCAATTTTGAATGAGGGTTTAGATTTTTGAAAACGAACAATGAATTGAAAATGGCACAGTTTATAAGCCACAAGGCAACTTTCTTTGTCCACTTTATTGTTTTCCGAGGAAGAGAATAATAGGCCAAGTACTGATCAGCTCTATCAACTCCCTTCATGAACATATTGTGACATGTTGCACAATGGAGGACACCCCCCCTCCCTACCCAGCAGTGATGTGGCAGCTCTGGCAACAGTGACGTGGCCGGTGAGTCAGCGCTCCATCCCCCCCCTCCGCACTGTGACATGACATGCAACGCTGCTGTCGATACGGCGTCAGGCAACAGCAGTACTCATTACATAACAGGCAAACACTGCGACTATATAAGGGAACTACACAGCCACTGAAGGCAGTTAAAAGTGTGTCAGCCACTGAAGTGAGTTCTCAAGGCAGCAGCCTACGAGTTGAGTTGGAACATAGCAGCCGTCGCGGAAAGAAGAACCGGACGTGTGTGTAATTGTGTAATTGGGAGTGTGTGATACAGGGACACTTACATAGCTCCTGTACTGTGAATACGTGTAGACTACTGAAGATAGAGTGAACAGATTATTGCGAATAGGGTTATAAAGTGTGAAACCCCGCAACAGTGTTGTAATTAATTGTAGCTGAGACTGGTAGGTTGTTAAATAAACCAATTAACAATCCGAATGGTGTCTTCAGTAACGAAACACGTTACAATATTATACTTGGAAATACAAACAGGCTTCTTTACCTGTCCATGTCTCCTTTGAACATCAGCCATGCTCGAATTGTGAATTGTGGAAATCATATTCACAACACGAGTATCCCTCCAGGACTGAAGAAGAATATCCCCCGTCCTCCTGAATGTGGTTTCACCACGTTTCAGGGATTTGTATACCCTTTTCAGATGTGGAGGAAGGCCTCTGTTCACCCTAATTCTTCCACAAACACGTACTTTTATCGAAAGTAGGTGTTCTGCAGTTGCCACACTGCTATAATAATTGTCTTGATAGACATGGTAATTTTGATCAAGATAGGGTTCCAAAACGGAAAGAATAGTTTCGTGTAATTTCTTTCCTTCACCAGAATAAAATTCTAAATTTCCCATATAGCCTGAAGTGCTTTCAGTATCTACAGGAACAAGTAGGCCATACTTTGTAAGTTTCCCAGGATTATGTGTTTGCATATTGCACTACTCACTGACAGCTTGCTACTTACAGCTTGAAGAAATAAAGGCATTTATTTTCCTTTGCAGGGGCATACAGTTACAGCAAGGTCACGTAACTGATTAGTCAGCAAACATTCCAGAGGCTTATCACGCAGATGCAGGCAGCTACGTGCAAGCTGGGTGGCGCCAGAGTGATGTATCATGTGTTGCAACTTATCGTGTTCTAAAAACGTATTAATACGCGACTGGTCCGCCACATTTAAAGTGAAAACGTATTAATGCGTGCGCAGTCCGCAAAGTGTTAAAACCATCACAGCACAACTATATCAAGGTCAGTGCCTAGTTTTGGCTCCGCTACATGTTTCTGCTATTAGAAGCCATCATCAGGCAAATACATGGCTACCATATATACACCACTGAACTGCGGTACTAATAAAATTGGATACAATAATAATTATATTAAAATACTTGGCATAAAAATACAATAAATTAGTTTATATAAAACAAAAAGTTATAGTATAAAACAAGAATAAAATTCTTTGATTGATGTTTTACATCATCAAGTCAGTCGTTGGTTTTTGTGATTTTGTTGCGTGCCCATGGACAGATTGGAGTATGCTATATTTTGTATATACAGGGTGTCCCAGGAGGAATGGACCAAACTTTGGGAGTGTGTTCCTAATGTTAAAGTATGCCGATATAACCCAAAACACCTATGTCCAAAGTTGAACGGTTACGGAG